AAACAAATCTGAAAATATAAAGAAAATAACATTATACAAACGTAACATATAGAATTATCATTTGACAGATGACAGCTGTCAAAAATGTAAACAAACGAAACAATATACATGTAGGTGTGACGGCGCGTTACAGTCCGCTAACAAAACACAAAATTGATTTCGTTAATACTATTACATTATATAATTATCAAACTTAAGACTTACAGTATATTTAGAGATATGTTTATAAAATACAAAAATCTAATTTACCTGAATAAATATTTAATATATCCAGAGATATTGGTGTTTTAATTTGCACTATAAAAAGCGTATACAATTTGAAAAACGGGTTTGACTAGAAAAGTAAATTATGATTGGTTGAAAAGTGTCACGTGTATAAACAGATCAAAGATTAGTTATTGAAAATATCGGGAAAATCTACGGAGTACAAGTCGGGTCATGATTTACAAATAAACAAAAACAACGGAATACATTTATGATATTTTTACCCTACGACAGAAACTTAATTTATAATTTTAGCAACAGTGAGCTTGACCTTGATCAATCTGATTAGTAATCCCAAGCTGCCTCTGGATATAAGCTACCCATACACCAAGTTTGGTGTCAATAGGCCTTAGCAAACTGAAGTTATTGAGCGAAAACTAAATTTCTATTTTTAGCCACAGTGACATTGACCTTGATCACATACACCTGGGTAGCAATCCCAAGCTGCGTCTTGATATAAGTACCCATACACCATGTTTGGATGCACGGAAGGGCGCCTGAGGTCTTCCTCCGTCAGTAAAGCTGGAACGTCGCCATATGACCTATATTGTGCCGGTGTGACGTAGTTTTTAAATCAAAACAAATCAAAACAAACACCATGTTTGACGTCAATAGGCCAAAGCAAACTCAAGTTATTGACTAAATTTCTATTTTTAGCAACAGTGACCTTGACCTTGATCACGGAGACCTACGTAGCAATCCCAAACTGCGTCTTGATATAAGTTACCCATACAGTAAGTTTGGTGCATAAGGCCTAAGCAAACCAATGTTATTGAGCAAAAAACGAATTTCTATTTTTAGCAACAGTGACCTTGACCTTAATCACAGACACATGGGTAGCAATCCCAAGCTGCCTCTTAATATAATTAAGCTACCCATACACCAAGTTTGGTGTCAAAAGGCCTAAGCAAACTAAAGTTATTGAGCGGAGAATGAATTTCTACTTTAGTAACAGTGATCTTGACCTTCATCACAGGCACCTGGGTAGCAATACCAAGCTGCGTCTTGATATAATCTACCCATACACCAAGTTTGGTGTCAATAGGCCAGAGCAAACTCAAGTTATTGAGCGGAAACCAAAGTTGACGTGCGCCAGCCTGCCCGCTCATTAATATCAGTTGAAAACCTGATTAATGATAAAACGTAAAAAACATAACACAAGGGATACTTGTTCGTATTAGTTCGAAATTATCGTCTTTATATCAACCGCTGACACACGAAACAAATTTACATTGCTTGTGGTTTTGTTTTTATGTCAATTATTAGCATTTCTATAACATAAAGACAATATATATACTAACAGTCATAACTAATTAGAAAAATAGGTATTTACAAACAAGTACTCGTTATCTTCTTGTATACAATTCAATTATATTTGTATAAAGTGCCCCCCGTATATCATATTGATGGGTTTAAATATGTCTTTTTAACCCATTACCTGGCAGATATACACGCCTTTCAACGCCTTTTTCACCCCCCCCCCCCCCTTTTTTGTTGTCCCAAATGATGAAAAAATGCCTTAGTTAGACCCCCAACACTTGTTTTTGTTTGAGAAATGTTGTTTAAAAAAGTGACCTCTTTTTCGGCGACGTCCCTATACAAAAGATACATCAGAGGGTTGCCAGAAGGTGGATGTGCCCCTTGTGTTTGGGGGTTTGAAGGGGCGGCAGCCCCCCCTCATCGCCAAGAAAATTTTGGACTTGTGAGAGGCTAAAAATGACCCCAGGTCGATCATAAGGTAACGTGTAACCAACGCTGAAAAGCCTTTGACTCTATCTCAATCCATTGAGAAGTTGCAGCACTTCGAAATCAGTTTTGATGAAAAAAATCAACGCAAAATAGAGTTTTTCTTTGGCCATTTTGAAATGTCCCTCGTTGCCAGGGTTACAGGAAATTTGAGACTGAGCATGTTGTTACAAAGACAGTTGTCCAGTTATAACGGGAGACTTTTCAATCACGGGGGAGGAAGTGTTACACGAAGGATGGAGTTCTTATGATAACTTGTTCAGGAGTTCTTGTGATAACTGTCACGGAGTTCGTCGGAAAACATCTGTATATACTACAAAAACACTCGTCAAAAATGGTTATTTTCATCGTTCTAAAAAGAGTTTTAGGTGCTAAATTACACTTTAATGATTTATCTTGTCTTACATCTTGTATTATGTGTCAAAGCCTAATTCACAGGCCATTTTTCATCGCTTCTTGCTTCAAATCTGGTAGTTTTGAGTAAAATTTCCAAATTATTTGCTTTGACCGGTTTATTTCTGGTTTTCATCCTTGCCATACATAATTACCTAATTATAATGCAAAATTGCAAACATAAAGCACCGGCTAACAGATTTATACACGATTTTTCAAATGTCCCGGAGTTCTTGTGATAACTCTAAAAATGTCACAGAGTTCTTATGATAACTTTTGTTATTGCCAGTGTGTTTCTTGCGCTAAATCATGCCACGTTCTGCCGTTTATTATCATTCAATAAGATCGTAAATCATTATGTAATGCAGTACGATCATCCTTTGCACAAACATGTGTCTTAAGTGTCTGCAAAGGATAAATAGGTGATAAACTATCAACGTACTACAGTTAACCACAAAACAAAAATAAAATGTCTCAAAACGTACACGTTTTTCTCAGTTTCACCACCTTTCTTAGGCAGACAATATATAGGCATGCTTACCTTACATAAGGGCTAAGTAATTTGTATCATTTTATACCATAATAAATAAGTATATAACCAGGATAATTTCCACACCTATGTCTTAAAAAAGTACGATACATGATAAAAACTCAACTGCGGTTGGCTCTAACTACCGATCTCTCGAACAAATTTGAACTGTCCCACCAGGTTCAAGCGAACTAAGTTTGACTATACATTTTTGTTATCAATTACAGCAAAAGTAGAGTTTCCTCCACTAAGATTACATAGGGGAAATACTCATCAAACATCGACAGAAAAATATACATGAAAATACCATATTTGAGTATTTCAAAGCGCATTTTATCACGTACATAAATGCCCTACTGGTTTCATAGCAGTTCCCGGCCCCAAATCGCACTTTTTAACAAATAAAATAAAAATATGTCTACCGAAGAGAGCAAACTTTGACAGAACAAAGTAAGGTACCTGTCCAGCATTACCATGTTTTAATGTTGCTCTTTTATTTTACATTTTAATGGAATAAAGGCCTGAGATGTAACACCTTTTCTCACATTTATTCAAAATTTCATAGCAGTTTTTCGGACCTTTTAATTTTGAATATAAATCAGTACCAATAAGCAATGTCCCAAACTTTTCCGTGTCGCCTGCAAGTATATATTGTTTAAAAGTAGTGATTTACTTAGAATTAGATTTCAGTTATTGTGCATGGGCATTCAAAGTAGAATTCCCCAGGTGTTGCTTATTTGTAAGTGTCGCAAGTTCTCTAATGTAACTTAAAACAACAGACAAAACTTTGAAACATATTAATCGCTGTACTATTATAACTACTGTATTACATAGAAAACATATGTTTATCTGATTGATGCAGTAACATATATAGATGCTTAACTGAGAAAAAATAGACTGTATGCCTGGATGAAAATGATAAAGGGCCAGAATACTGCTAGGAGCCGGAAACTGCTAGGAAACCAGTACATAAATCCTTTTTCCAGTCTACGAAATCTGCGTCAAACAAAAAAAATACTATGAAAAAGAAACGGGGGTAAGAAATAATATCTCTTGAACTAAAATTCACTCAAAACCAACATTATATATCCTATTTTTTGCGCAAAGGATGAGCGTACTACATTTCATAATGATTTACAATCTCATTGAATAATAAAAAACGCTAAAACGTGCCGTGATTTAGCGCAAGAAACACACTGGCAATAACAAAAGTTATCATAAGAACTCTGTGACATCTTCAGAGTTATCACAAGAACTCCGGGACATTTGAAAAATCGGGTATAAATCTGTTAGCCGGTGCTTTATGTTTGCAATTTTGCATTATAATTAGGTAATTATGTATGGCAAGGATGAAGACCAGAAATAAACAGGTCAATACTTGTGAATTGGCAAATAATTTGGAAATTTTACTGAAAACTGCCAGAATTATAGCAAGAGGCGATTAAAAATGGCATGTGAATTAGGCTTTGACACATAATACAAGATGTAAGACAAGCTTAATTATTGAAGTTTAATTTAGCACCTAAAACTCATTTTTGAAAGATGAAAATAACCATTTTTGACGAGTGTTTTGTAGTATATACAGATGTTTTCCGACGAACTCCGTGACAGTTATCACAAGAACTCCTGAACAAGTTATCATAAGAACTCCATCCTTCGTGTAACACTTCCTCCCCCGTGTCAATGAAAACAGCCATTTTTCAAAAAATGCCCACGCAGTATTGGGTTAAACTTAACTTAAATTTAATTAGATGAATATTTCGACACATTTTACACATTAAATAGTGCATTGCATGCATAAAAGATATACAAACTGTTTAATTACCAAATTGATAAATTCAGCCAGATTTTTGTTAAAAAAATAACCCTATATTAACTCATTTTTAACTTTATTTCAAGCTTTTAACTTTTAGTGATTTTGATATAACTCATTAAACATTTTCTTTAATTCTTATAAAATGTCTTTATTTAACATTTTTTCATTGATGCTAATTGTGTTGTTGTTGTTGATGATGATGATATTGTTGTTGTTGTTGTTGTTGATGATGATGATGATGATGATGTCAACATTTCTGGCAGAGCGCAAGTTTAAGAAACAAACGGACACATTTGTTTAGCCTTTTTATGGCACCCGCCATTATCAGTGAGGATCATCAACCAAATCACGAAACAATTGACCCAGTTTCTATACACTTTGCTACAACTTTGCATGGAATATTTGACCAGGTAAGGTTAGATTCTTAATTTCAATGCGCGAATTTTGTTATTTTTATAAAATTCCAAAACATCTGCGTTGTACATATTGCATTGTATCTAAAGTTTTAAGTTTATTGCATATTTTATGCGTAATCATAGCAACGGATCCTATTTTGAAGTTTAACTTCTCACATTTATACACCACGGTTTTACACTTTTATAGATCATAGCTTTGAAATTTTTGTTGGATGAGTTATTCGTTGAGTTATAAGTAGAAGTTAATAGTGGTGTAAAGAAAGCGGTAAGATATTTTTTCTGCCTTATAGTGTGTCTGTTACCATTTTATGGTGTTTACTATCGTAGATTTTTTTCTTGTGTATTATAGTGTGATTTTTTTTCATCATCTGAAGAATACATGTATGTATCACAAAATTAAGGGGATTGGAATAGAATCTTTATCAATTTAGCGTCTGATTAGTCCAACTAATTGTACTGCGCGACGAGATATTGTGCTATTTTCGTGTCTGGGCAATATCTCGCCTCTACTTAAAGCAATATCTGCTTTTGACTGGTGAGACCCTTCTCAAATTTAATATATACATACCTGGAATTCCAGAACCAGAACGAGGTTTAAATGGCACGAATGTAAACACACTGACCACTCTTATCTCACTATATAGCCACGATGTCGGGTGTTAATAAAGAAAAGTTCTTATTATCATTTTTGTGTGCCAATGTGCTATTCTGATGGTAAATATAATTTACCATATTCCAAAGGATAAAGATTAAAAAAACACACAACAAATTATGGATGACTTAACTTTCTAAGATAAGAAGGGATAAAAGGTCATTGTTAAAGGTAAGCACCTAAAATAATATTTTGTAAACTTTGACCACTTTATGAACAGAATAATATTTTTGTAAAAATACAGATTTTGTATATTTAGAATAAAATAATGGGAGAACTGCTTGCTTTTAATCTAACAGTTATAACAATTTAAACTTGTAAATTGTAAATTATTATCAGTTCAAATTTATGTTACAAATAGAGGATTGAAGCTGACTAATACATGTAGTTACCATATCACTCCTTATTATAAATATATGTTGTATATTTTAGGTCACTGAATCTACTGTGGTGTGTTCCAAACATTTTAAACTGAGGATTACAACTGGACTCCACTTAAAAATGGTTCTATTCCACCAGTGATTAATTTGGTTGAACAAACACCTCCAATTAAGAAGGCCACTTATATGAAAAATTCTTTCACCAAAGAAAATGCTCATTGATAGGTAATTTTTATGATAAAGTCACTGATTTAACACACATATTCATCATTTCATTTAAAAACATATAATATAATGCTTATTTATGTTTAATAAATGTATTTGCTTTTAATATAGAAAAAAATCATTTAAATTCTCACTGATATTGAATAAATAATATGTTTTGGTAAAATATATAATTATCTTTCAGCATTGTCTATAATGAAGATGAAGAAGATAATGCAACAAGTACCAATTGCCAACCATCTACATCTTATGGGTCTACAGAAACACAGGAAGAAATATATATTTAAATGCTTCATGAGGCTTGAACTGGAGGAGACCAAAAAGATGTAAAGACCCTGCAACTCATTTGTATTGAAATTACAAAGGAACATGCACACGTTCGCATTTGTGTCATTGTTACATGGATGCATGTCAGATGTTGAGATCTAATTGAACTTTTTGAAACTGGTGATGGTGTGATGGTTTTTATATGTATATTTAAATTGGTTTTCAATAAAAAAAGGATAATAAAAACAATATAATATTAGGGAGTATTAAAGTTTAATCTTTATTAAAATTTTGAAATAAATAAGAAAATTCATTCTTTCTCTGTAATCTATGGCATTTCCCTTAATTATATTGCGCAATGGTAGTATTGGAAGTACAAATTAAAATTCATGAAGTACATGTATACATAGAATTTGGCTAGGCAGAAACTATAGTAAACGGTCTTTATAACTGAGTCAATAAATGTTTGATATAATCCACCCAATACACATCTGATAAAGATTTACCACAGGTCATTAGGGGCTTATCTGTAAGATTCAATTTGCAATTACCTTTATGTTGGCATCAAGAATCCATAAATAACAGAACAACAAAGATTATATAATACAAGACACCACAGATTTATATCTATAAACCTTATATTATGTTAGGAAATATCTTTATGACAGCAAAATTGAAACCGAAAGTAAAAAAAAATCTCTTCTCTTACTCACCTCTTAAACCATAAATGGATACCTCATAAATATATTGAATTCTTTATAGAGAAATTAACTTTGTCTTGATTAATATATAACTCTATAAATGAGAAATTAATTTTAGGAGCCAAAGATAAGTCGATTTCATTGTATACACAGCTTATACTGGCTTATCAGCTTGCCAGTTATGCCTCGTTCTGGTTCATGTTCTAAAAATAGCTGTATAATATTAAGAATGGTCTAATCAGAAGTTAGTCCTTATAGAAAATTTCTGGATTTGAATTTTTTGATACAGAAGATTTATTAATTTCAAATGGCATATTAGAATTGGAATTGCATGTATTTATTCAAATGTTATTTTTATTATTACAGTTCAATTTTCTTTCTTTTTAACTGACACATATCTTAAAATTAATTCACCTTTAATAAAAAAACATTTTCTAACATAACTGATAAATGACACCAAAAGTTATTTTTTTATTTTGGTAAACATTGAAAGTATGATGCTACAAATGTACAAAAAGCTCACTTTTCCTAAAGTTCCTTTTTAATTCAAAATAAAACATCTATATTTTAGACACATCTTATGATCAAAATGAGAATGCTCTGTGATATTTGTTAGATCAAAATTTAGCATTAGGAGTATCATTTTGTAAGAGTTTATAGTTGGCGACGCCAGTGAGCGGCGTCATCTCTTATGGAATGCTTTTTATTTTGGCCTATGGAAGGAGCTGTTATTATTAGCAGTTAATGTCATGTTCTGTTAATTAGTTTTATTTTGATTTGTAAAAATCAAGTAAACAAATATGTTGTTATATTTGTATTTAATAACTTTATGTAAAAAGCATGTGCATTGTGATATTATTTTCATGAAATTGCAGGCTCAGTTTAACAGCTTGTCCCTGAGACAGCTTTATGAGTGAGACTAGAATAAAGTTTCCTTTTAACCCATTACTTCATATACACGCCTTTTAACGCCTTTTTCACCCCCCCCCCCCTTTTTTGTTGTCTCAAATGATGAAAAATGCCTTATTTACCCCAAACACTTGTTTTTGTTTGAGAAATGTTGTTAAAAAAGTGACCTCTTTTTCGGCGCGGCCCCCCAACCAAAAGATACATCAGGGGGTTGCCAGTTGCCTTCTGTTTGGGGGGGGGTTTGAAGGGGGGCGGAGTCCCCCTCATCGCCAAGAAAATTTTGGACTTGTGAGAGGCTGTAAATGACCCCAGATTGATCACAAGGTAACATGTAACCAACGTTGAAAAGCATTTGACTCTATCTCAATCCATTGAAAAGTTACAGCACTTTGAAATCAATTTTGATGGAAAAAATCAACGCAAAATAGTGATTTTTGGCAATTTTGAGATGTCCCCTCATTGCCATGGTAACAGAAAATTTAAGCCTGATCATGTTGTTGCAAGGGCAATGGTCCAGTCAACATTTGTGCCAAGTTTGATTAGTGTTGAAGCAGTTTTTATAGTATCATAGCAATTTGAACTTGTAACGGGAGACTTTTCAATGAAAACAGCCATTTTTCACAAAATGCTCATGAAGTAATGGGTTAAAAGGAAAGGCTTGCCCAGTTGTGCCATCATCCCATCCCTTTAAAAATGATTTTTTTTATAAAAAACCTCCTAAATCAACTCTTTATGATAAAGAAATAATTATAATGCATATAGGTGCTCATGTCCATATATTGAAACAGAGAAAGGATAACATACTGAAGTTATCAATTTTAAACACTTGATATATATGCAGTTAGTTATATAGTAAAGTCTAATGGAAGGTTAAAAGAGGGACAGTATTTGTTACTGTAAGAGATATGCATTTAATGTTTAGACACTCACACAGCTAAATCTTTATTATACATGTATGATATAGAGTATTTGAGATTTTTTTAAAAACTTTTATACTATACAGTATTATAGTTTTCTTTCAACAAGATTATAAATTCCATCCAAGTACCAATGTTAATAGGATGTTATATTTATTTTCAATGGAAACTGGGAATTATTAATGTAATGTGCATAAATGTATATCATGGTATATGGATATAATGTGACTTGAAATATTTCTGTATTTAAAGAAATACAGTTATGATGGATGAGACTTGCATTTAAATTTATAAATGATAATACATGTATTGATTAGTCTACAGGTTATAGCTGTTTATACCCAGTGTTTGCTGGCTAATAATAGTATCTATAATAGAGTTTATACATTATACATGTAGTTTTCTTTCTACTAGATTTTGAATTCCATCCATTAGTGCCAATGTAATGTTAGGATTTCATATTTATTTAATAGAAACTGGAAATTATTAATGTTATGTGCATACATGTATATCTTAGTATATGGATATGATGAGACTTATAATATTTCTGTATTTAAAGAGTTACAGTTATGACATTATTATTAAAGATTAAAAGTTATAAATGATAATACATGTATTGATTGAAAATGTCCTTAAACTTGGATCAAGCAATATAATTTATAGTCATATAAAAATCATATGGTATTCTGAATTGTTATTTGAATTTTTTTCTAACATGTGCATAGTTTGAAAAGGACAGCTTCTGCCTTATCTATTTGTTAGCTCAACCCCTACAGCCGCAGTACATTATTCTGTGGGTCACAGGTTTGAGTTCTGGTCAAGCTGAAAGTTTGTCTCATCCTGTGATTGCATATAACCCTGTGTTTAATTCACGATGCTCTGTAAACATCAGAAATTCAAGGACACAAATCAATATTGTGGGGAAATATGTTGTGGTTTAGAACTGTTCATTGTTAATTTAAAGAGAAAATGTGTAGCCGGCCAGATAGCCAAGTTGGTCTTCTGACAGTCATGGGTTGGAAATGGTTTTTCAATTGACAAATGTTTGATTCATTTAACAGATTGTATTAAATTTGAAATGGACAATGGCAGTATTGTATGCATGATACTTTTAGACCTACAAAAGGCATATGATACAGTTGATAACACTATACTGCACATGAAGAAGTTCTTCTTCTTCTTCTTCATGGAACCTCAAGAGCATCTGCCATAGGTAATGACATTCTTACATGGTTCAAGTCTTATTTCTGATGGACAGCAGCTGTACTCATTCTACTACTGCTCCAAGTACCTATGGTGTCCCCCTGAGATTCATTTTAGGTCCTCTTTTATGTCTTATATTTGTCAATGACATGTCTGCAACCCTAAGCAATAAGCTTTTATTATATGCTGATGACTCAGGTATACTTGTATCTGGTACCCGGTTGAACCGGGTGATGCTCCCCGAAAAGGGTATACCTCTTGTAGTGTCAGAGTTATGTCACAGGCAAAGTTCAAAGTGTAAAAACAACCCAAATGTTGTGCACGACACATTGTCTCAATATGGTGATCATTTCTGTGAAATAGTTGTAAAATCAGACTTCAAATAAGGAAGTTATTTTGCTGCAAGGTCATGCTGTGACCTTGACCTTCAAGGTAGCGCCCCAAATATTGCATGTGACACGTCGATTCAATGTGGTGATCATCCCTGTGAAGTAGTTGTTAAATCCGACTTCAAGGAACGAAGTTACTGGCCGAACGCGATTTGCTGCAAGGTCATGCTGTGACCTTGACCTTCAAGATAGCGACCCAAATGTTGCGCGCGACACGTCATCTCAATATTGTGATAATTTCTGTAAAATATTTTTAAAATCTGACTTCAAATAACGAAGTTATGGGCCGGACAAGATTTTGCTGCAAGGTCATGCTGCGACCTTGACCTTCAAAGTAGCGACCCAAATGTTGGGCGCAACACGTTGTCTCAATATGGTGATCATTTCTGTGAAATAGTTTTAAAATCTGACTTCAAATAACGAAGTTATGGGCTGGACATGATTTTTCTGCAAGGTCATGCTGTGACCTTGACCTTCAAAGTAGCGACCCAAATGTTGCGTGCAACACAAAGTCTTAATATGGTGATCATTTCTGTGAAATAGTTTTAAAATCTGACTTCAAATAACGAAGTTATGGGCTGGACAGGATTTTGCTGCAAGGTCATGCTGTGACCTTGACCTTCAAGGTAGCGACCCAAATGTTGGGCGCAACACGTCGTCTCAATATGGTGATCATTTCTGTGAAATAGTTTTAAAATCTGACTTCAAATAACGAAGTTATGGGCTGGACAGGATTTTGCTGCAAGGTCATGCTGTGACCTTGACCTTCAAGGTAGCGACCCAAATGTTGGGCGCAACACGTCGTCTCAATATGGTGATCATTTCTGTGAACTAGTTTTAAAATCCGACTTCAAATAACGAAGTTATGGACCGGACACGATTTTGATGCTAGGTCATGCTGTGACCTTGACTTCAAGGTAGCGACCCAAATGTTGCGCGCGACACGTCGTCTCAATATGGTGATCATTTCTGTGAAATAGTTGTAAAATCCGACTTCAAATAACGAAGTTATGGGCTGGACAGGATTTTGCTGCAAGGTCATGCTGTGACCTTGACCTTCAAGGTAGCGACCCAAATGTTGCGCACGACACGTCGTCTCAATATGGTGATCATTTCTGTGAAATAGTTTTAAAATCCGACTTCAAATAACGAAGTTATGGGCCGGACACGATTTTGCTGCAAGGTCATGCTGTGACCTTGACCTTCAAGGTAGCGACCCAAATGTTGCGCGCGACATGTCGTCTCAATATGGTGATCATTTCTGTGAAATAATTTTAAAATCCGACTTCAAATAAAGAAGTTATGGACCGGACACGATTTTGATGCAAGGTCATGCTGTGACCTTGACCTTCAAGGTAGCGACCCAAACGTGGGCGCGACACGTCGTCTCAATATGGTGATCATTTCTGTGAAATAGTTTTAAAATCCAACTTCAAATAAAGAAGTTATGGACCGGACACGATTTTGATGCTAGGTCTTGCTGTGACCTTGACTTCAAGGTAGCGACCCAAATGTTGCGCGCGACACGTCGTCTCAATATGGTGATCATTTCTGTGAAATAGTTTTAAAATCCGACTTCAAATAACTAAGTTATGGGCCGGACACGAGTTGGGACGGATGGACTGACGGACGGACGGACAACCCGACGACTATATGCTCCCCCGAAATTTTTCGGGGAGCATAATAAATCTGAAGAAATTATCTCTTATGGCATGAGTCCTATAAGTGATTGGTTAATTGACTATAAATTGTCATTTCATCTTGGCAAAACAGAGTCTATTCTTTTTTGTTTAAGTTTCAACTTAAACTGGGCCTAGCCTCCAGGACACATGTAATGGCACTGTTATGAATTACACATCTTTTCTTAAGTATTTAGGTGCAAAACTTGATCAAATTCTTTTTGGCGTCGCCTTTGATGCATATTATGTCGCATAAACCTCGCGGCGTGCCATTTTTCGACACTATCCTTCATGATATGCTTGTATATAGGCAGTTTACTGAATGAAAATACTGTGCCCCTTTGAAATTAAAGTAGCCAATGATGCTGTATTTCTTTATAAAAATCCCAACAAAGAACAGAGAGTCATAAAAATATAAAAAAATTCAAAAACAATATGCCTGATGACGATAATATTCGGACAGTAATACAATCGTTAATGTCTTATTCACTTCACTTTGAAATGACTTGTTACGAGTGCATGGTCACTCTGCTTGTGAAGGGCGTAGCTTGAAAGAAACCAATGTGTAGGCACTTGTGTTAGGGGGGTCCGGGGGCATGCTCCCCCTAAATTTTTTGAAAATCTACATTGCCATAGCTGCATTTTGGGGTAGGTCAAGGCATGTTCTGAAGGAAGAGAATTCATAATTTTGCTGCATTTTGGTTACATTTTTTTTCATCAATATAATGATGACCATACTTATATCACTAACTAAATAACGCAAAGCAAAGACATTTTGGCGAAAAGCTTTTTTCCGTATATAACTTTGGGGTAATGATATATGAATCCAAGACTATATATTTAAAGAGAAAAAAAAATGAAAATTTTTAAGCAAACATTAAAATCTAAAAATTCGAAATAAGGGTTGTCTAAATATATAATTAGAAAATAATGAAAACAAAGGTCAACAAATCGAACGCCATGAACTATAAACACTCCCCTAATAACACCTTGCTACACCGAACTATGATGATGAAATATCTAATGTCACACAAACAGCGTCTCAATAAGATTTTATGCTCCCATAATTCATAAATAAAAGCCTCTTTTTATTGTTTATGGTGACACATATATAGAACATAGAATAGACTGGTTACGTGAAGTCAAAGTAAAGACAAAGCAACCTTACCCCTTCAGTAATTCAATAAGTACGTTACCTACAGTAATGTAAGAAGAACTTTTATTATCAAACAATTTGAATGAACTATTTCACACGAAGTAGTTTCATCTATTTCACAAGAACTACTATCAAAGTGAATGAACTTTGCGTTTCAGAACGCTCATGTTCATTTACATGTTTATTTTAAGAACTTAAAAGGCCGATATTTTCAGTCATGTTTTTCTTTACGTTCTTCTTTTCTTCTAATATTTCTCCATAAGTTACCCAAGTCACTCTATTGTGATAATTCAACAATCAATTATTCTCATATTTTTCGTTGTACCTTCAAAGAGCTTACATCTATCCGCAACATTTTTGTATCTTTATTTTGAAAATTACTTTAACTGGAGAGGTATTGTTTTACTTGTTTTCCAATCCAACCTGAAATACATTGTTGTGAAATGTTTGAAAATGTTACTTTATATGCAATTTAATGAATAAATAAAGTTACATTTAGGTGTAAATTAAAAAAAATGCATCACTAGCTTTAAAAGCAGACTCTCCACTACTACACTAAATATTGCAGACTTTGATGTGCATTCGAACACATTACTTGTATATGTTATATATAATGAAAATACATTTAAAATTTGTATAGTAACATAGATTATGTTTCACGTTTACTTCAAATCGACTATGAACTTGCCAGATTTCGATTCTACGTTATGTTTTGTGCTCAATATTTTACGGAGATGCAGTTTGAACAGAATAACGTACAAATAATTAAATCATGAATCCCTTAAGAAGGGAAGATAATATGAAAAACAAGATGTCAAGGCTTCATTCGAAAGATATCGCTTAGCCTCCTCGTCAGTTGTATAAAGCTAGCACTACGGAAATCTGGATATGGCCTATCCTGGTCGTGCATACTTGTAATATTCATATTTATACCCCCAAAAACGAAGTTTGGGGGGTATATAGGAGTCACCCGGTGGTCGGTTGGTTGGTTTGCATTTTCCTTGTCCGGAGCATAACTTGAAGACTAATGGTTGGAATTCAATATAACTACATACAATGGTCAAGCACATTGAGAGGAAGTGCAGTGCACAAGAACCATAACTCTACATTGACTAATTACAGAGTTATTGTCCTTTGTTACTTTTCCTTGTCCGGGGCATAACTTTAAAACTACTGGTTGGAATTCAAAACAACTTCATATAATTGTCAAACACAATAAGGGGAAGTGCAGTGCACAAGAACCATAACTCTATCTAAAGTAATTACAGAATTATTGCCATTTGTTACTTTTCCATTGCTTTCTTTTTTCCGGACCATAACTTGAAGACTAATGGTTGGAATTCAATATAACTACATACAATTGTCGAGCACATTGAGAGGAAGTGCAGTGCACAAGAACCATAACTCTATCTTGACTAATTACAGAGTTATTGCCCTTTGTTTCTTTTCCTTGTCCAAGGCATAACTTGAAAACTACTGGTTGGAATTCAAAACAACCTCATACAATGGTCAAGCACAATAAGGGGAAGTGCAGTGCACAAGAACCATAACTCTATCTAAAGTAATTAAAGAGTTATTGCCCTTTGTTACTTTTCCATTGCTTTCTTTTGTCTGGACCATAACTTGAAGACTAATTGTTGGAATTCATTATAACTTCATACAATGGTCAAGCACATTGATAGGAAGTGCAGTGCACAAGAACCATAACTCCATCTTGACTTATTACATAGTTACTGCCCTTTGTTACTTTTCCTTGTCCAGAGCATGACTTGAAAACTACTGAGTGGAATTCAAAACAACTTCATACAATGGTCAAGCACAATAAAGGGAAGTGCAGTGCACAAGAACCATAACTCCATCTTGACTTATTACAGAGTTATTGCCCTTTGTTACTTTTCCATTGCTTTTTTTGTCCGGAGCATAACTTGAAGACTAATGGTTGGAATTCAATATAACTTCATACAATGGTCAAGCACATTGAGAGGAAGTGCAGTGCACAAGAACCATAACTCCATCTTGACTAATTACAGAGTTATTGCCCTTTGTTACTTTTCCTTGTCCAGAGCATAAATTGAAAACTACTGTTTGGAATTCAATACAACTTCATACAGTTGTCAAGGACATAAAAAGGAAGTGCAGTGCACAAGAGCCATAACTCCATTTTGACAAAATACAGAGTTACTGCCCTTTGATACTTTTCCTTGTCCGGAGCATAACTTAAAACGTACTGGTTGGAATTCAAAACAACTTCATACAATAGTCAAGCACAATAAGAGGAAGTGCAGTGCACAAGAACTATAACTCCATCTTCAGTTTTTATAGAGTTATTGCCCTTTGTTCCTTTTCTTTGTCTCTCTGGACTTATAACAGAGTAATTCAATAAAACTTCATCAATGGCCAACCACATTGAAAGGAAATGCAACATACAAGAACCACAACTATCTTTAATTGCCCACAACCATAACTCTATATTTCAATTCTTTTACAAGGTATTCTGTTACTAGTAACATCCTCATTTCCGAAGCAGTCTTGTGGGGGTATTAATCACATTTAGTGATAGTTCTAGTTTGAATTGAAGCGCTCAAAAACTTTTATATTGTCAAAAACTTCATCCATCTCTGAAAGGTTTAACCACAGAACAACTTTTTAACACGGCAATGTTTCATTATGAAATAAACTCGATATATTTTCAAATATGGTGACAGGTCATTTTCTAATATATGGACCTACATATCTACCGCCCTTACCCTTAAATTTTTATCGCATTTTTGTAATCATTTAATTTTTCATTTCTGAGGAAAAAGTGTAGGCGCATGCCTACAGTGCCTATAGGAAGCTACGCCACTGCTTGTTATCCCCCGCCGAAAAGGTAGCAAGATATAGAAATAGTATCTGTCTGTCTGTCCGCCCGCCGGCCCATCCTTCCGTCCAACATTTCTGTCCGGAGCATGTCTCAAAAGTATTTGAGGTATCAACTTGAAACTTCATAGGTGGATAGATCATATTGAGGAGTGCAGTGCACAAGAATGATAACACTACCCTGCTTAATTTTTCAGTGATTGCCCTTTGTTATTTTTCAAACTTAATTTTTGTCCAGAGCATAATTTAAAAAGTCTTTAAGATGTTAACATGAAACTTCATAGGTGGATTAATCTTATTGATGAGGAGTGCTGTGCGCAAGAATGATGATAACTCTACCCTTTATAATTTTTGAGTTATTGTCCTTTGTTATTTTTCATACTTTTTGCCTGTTATTTTTCATACTTTTTGCCTGGAACTTATCTCTAAAAGTGTCAAAGGTATCAACTTGAAACTTCATAGGTGAATAGATCTCATTGAGGAGGAGTGAGCACACAAGAATGATAACATACCCTGCATTATTTTTCAGTTATTGCCCTTTGTTATTTTCATCCATCAGACCTCTTAAAATTGAATTATTCTGCTTTACTACATATACATTCTTTCAATGAGCAAACACTTTCGGCAGGGGATGGCCATGTTAACATGGCTCTTGTTTTGGATTAAAATATGTAAAATGAAGAATTAAAGCTTTGGCATAATTATGCTTCAAATGACAAATCAGTTTTGTTATAACTGTACACTATGTGTAAATGTCATGAAACGTTGTTGGCAACATAACCCCTCTGGTTACCTGTAGAAGAAATTAAACAAATATTCTTTAGAACAAGTGTTGAACTGCGGAATGTTTTGTAGACATGAAATCTTTAACAAGTACATTGTACCTCATTATTGAAAAACTGATTAATGAGGGAACATTACTGTTCATTACTAGAAAAGTTGCCAGACTAAGAGAGTTTATATATTTCTTTAGAATAGTGAATATGCTTAACTCATATTTACTGTATTTTGGCAGTTTCCTTGTTTCAATAACAACATTAATTGTCTCTTTTACAAGATATTTTGACTTTTCTGATAACCATCGCATCTAGATAGATTTAGTAAAAAGTTTCCGCAAGAGATGGCCACACAGTAATAGCATAAAAACTGTCGGGTTTATGAACAATGATATGAAATATTTATGACTTATCTGAAATTCTATTATGATCATTATGTTTAAATCAGAGATATCATATAATATTGTTATAGTTTATCCTGTTAAGTCAGCTATTAAGTTTTCTCTAATTATCCTTTTTATTTTTAGAATAATAAGAACAATGGTTTGGGGAGCAGTTGTTGGAATGGCGGCCGCTCAGGTCATAGGTATGATCTGGTACTCCAAAGTTGTCCTCGGTAAACCGTGGATGAAGGCAACATTTCCAGGGAAAACTTACGAACAAATTGCACAGTTGCAGAAAGAATCGATGCACTCTGAAATTATCGTCTGCCTTATATCCCAGGTGGCACTTATGATGGCGATAAATTATGTCATTGGGTAATAATTCAATGTCAATCTTAACCAAATTCACTTAGATGTGTATCCAAGATAACAAATGTTCATATTTGCTTTAATAACTAGCATGGTCTATGATTGTTGTTTATCTGTTTATTTCTATGTGATTTTAACATAATCTTTGACTGTTTTATGTCCCCTGCTTGTGTAATGCACCATTTGTAGACCTGCCCAATCACTGGAGCACTGCGGATGGTAGCGGGAACATGAGCTGGATTGTTACCTTCCACCTTAACCCGTTATTAGCTCGACTTTTTTTTTTTTGAGAAAAAAAGTAGAGGTATTGTTATAGTCAGGTCGGCGTTGCCGTCCGCAAACTTGTACCTGGATCATAACTTTTTTATTTCTTGGTGTATTGTCTTCATACTTGGCCACAACAACCCTTGGGACAAGACCTCTCAGTAGACCACACTAACCTTTTCCTTCATCCATAAATGACCTTGACCTCCAAGGTTAAAAGTCCAATTTTTGTGTCGCCTTGAAAAGGTGACATATAGGGGTTACTTTTGTCGGCGGTGTCGGCAGCGGGGTCTGTGTCGGCGTCGTTGTCGTTGTCGGCGTCGGCGTCTGCTAAAGCTTGTCCGGAGCATAACTCAGTCACTATAAGTCTGATTGACTTCAAACTTGGTATGCATGCTTCTTTCAATAACCCGAAGTGCAGTGCACAAGGACCAGTACTCTGCAGTTCTTATTTTTTGAGTTATTGCCCTTTGTTAATTTTCATACTTTAATTTTGTCCGGGCCATTTCTCTTCAACTAAAAAAGCTATGGACTTGAAACTTCATAGGATGATAGATCTCATTAAGAAGAAATGCAGTGCACAAGAACCAGTACTCTGCACTTCCTAATTTTTGAGTTATTGCCCTGTGTTAATTTTCATACTTTATTTTTGTCCGGGCCATTTCTCCTAATGTATAAAAGCCATGGACTTGAAACTTCATAAGATGATAGGTCTCATTAAGAAGAAGTGCAGTGCACAAGAACTGGTACTCTGCATTTCTTATTTTTTGAGTTATTGCCCTTTGTTTGTTTTCATACTTAATTTTTGTCCAGGCCATTTCTCTGAAAGTATAAAAATTATTGACTTGAAACTTCATAGGATGATAGATCTCATTAAAAAGAAGTGCAGTGCATAAGAACTGATACTCAGCATTTCTTATTTTTGAGTTATTGCCCTTTGTTGCTTTTCTTACTTTATTTTTGTCCTGGTCATTTTTCCTCAAGTATGAAAGCTATGGACTTGAAACATCATAGAATAATAGATCTTATTGATAAGAAGTGCAGTGAACAGAAACTGCTGCTCTGCACTTATTATTTTTTGAGTTATTGCCCTTTGTTTTTTTCTTTTTTCATTTTTGTCCTGGCCATTTCCCCTAAACTACATTGTTCACAAGGCGACACATCCGACTCGCGGAGTTCTAGTTGCTTGTTCATGCTGTTATTGGCTGTAAGCCTGTAACTTTGTTATTTTTTAATGGATTGTCTTCAAACTTGAACATAATAATCTTCATGGATATCCCTTAAAAATAACCCGCCAGACCTTGACCTTTACTCATAAATGACCTTGACTTTGAAGGTCAAATTATTGAAATTTTCATTTTTTTGGCTATTATTGGCTGTAACTTTGTTATTTTTGAATGGATTGTCTTCAAACTTGAACATAATTATCTTCAGGGATATCCCTTAAAAATAACTAGACAGACCTTGACCTTCACTCATAAATGACCTTGACTTTGAAGGTCAAATTATTGAAATTTTCATTTTTTTGGCTATTATTGGCTGTAACTTTGTTATTTTTGAATGCATTGTCTTGAAACTTAAACATAATAATCTTCAATGATAACTGTTAAAAATATACCGAAAGACCTTGACCTTCACTCATAATGACATTGTCTTTGAAGGTCAAATTATTGAAATTTTCATTGTTTTGGCGGTAACTGACTGTAACTTTGCTATTATTGAAGGGATCAACTTCATATTATAACAGGACATTCTTAAGGACCAGACCTCGTTGTTTATCAAACCCAAATTTGCTTGGGCTCTTTAATGACCTTGACCTTGAAGGTTAATTTACTGAATTTTCTCAGATTTGTGCATTAAATGACCATAATTATATATTTATTGGTGTGTGTGTGTGTGTGTGTGTATATTTATATATTTACAACAACAACAACAACAACAACAATTGCGTCATTGTTTCTATTCATAGAATTGCGTCATTGTTTCTATTTTTAGAAATTGCGTCATTGGTGCTATTTATAGAAATTGCGTCATTGTTTCTATTTTTAGAAATTGCGTCATTGTTGCTATTTATAGAAATTGCGTCATTGTTTCTATTTTTAGGAATTGCGTCATTGGTGCTTTTTTTAGAAATTGCGTCATTGTTTCTATTTTTAGAAATTGCGTCATTGTTGCTATTTTTAAAAACTTCGTCATTGTTGCTATTTTTAGAAATTGCGTCATTGGTTCTATTTTAAGAAATTGCGTCATTGTTTCTATTTTTAGAAATTGCGTCATTGTTTCTATTTTTAGCTCACCTGAGCAATGCTCAGGGTGAGCTATTGTGATCGCCCTGTGTCCGTCGTCGTGCGTCGTGCGTCGTCAACTTTTCACATAAACAACATCTCCTCTGAAACCAATGACTGCACATCAACCAAACTTTACAGAAATGATCCTTGGGTGGTCCCCTTTCAAAGTTGTTCAAATGGTTCCGGTCTGTTGCATATGTAGGTCACAGGGCCAGAAAAGGATTTCAAAAAACACAAAATTAAAAAATCTTCTTGTCTGAAAGTACATGGGCCAGAGCTTTGATTTTTGGTATATGGTATCATCTATGGGTCCTCTACCAAAGTTGTTCAAATTTTGTCCCTAGTGTCAAAAATTGGCCCCGCCCCGGGGGTCATAGGTTTTTCCTTATATGTCTATAGGTAAATCTAAAAAAATCTTCTTCTCTGAATTGGCAAAGGCTACAGATTAGATATTTTGGCATGAAACATTGTGTAGTAGACCTCTATCAAGATTGTTCAAATAATGGCCCTAGGGTCAAAATTGGCCCCGCCCTGGGGGGTCATTGATTTTCATTACATACATATAGTGAAAACTTGAAAAATCTTCTGGTCTGAAACTAAATGGCCTAGAGCTTTGCTTTTTGGTATATGGTATCATCTATGGGTCCTCTACCAAAGTTGTTCAAATTTTGTCCCTAGTGTCAAAATTGACCCCGCCCGGGGGGGTCATAGGTTTTTCCTTATATGTATATAGTAAAACATAAAAAAATCTTCTTCTCTGAATTGGCAAAGGCTACAGATTAGATATTTGGCATGAAACATTGTGTAGTAGACCTCTATCAAGATTGTTCAAATAATGGCCCTAGGGTCAAAATTGGCCCGCCCCGGGGGGTCATTGATTTTCATTACATACATATGGTGAAAACTTGAAAAATCTTCTGGTCTGAAAGTAAATGGCCTAGAGCTTTTGATATTTGGTCTATGGTATCATCTGAAGGTCCAATACCAAAGTTGTACAAATTTTGTCCCTAGTGTCAAAATTGGCCCCGCCCCGGGGGGTCATAGGTTTTTCCTTATATGTATATAGTAAAACATAAAAAATCTTCTTCTCTGAATTGGCAAAGGCTACAGGTAAGATATTTGGCATGAAGCATTGTGTGGTAGACCTCTACCAAGATTGTTCAAATAATTGCCCTTGGGTCAAAATTGGCCCCGCCCTCGGGGGTCATTGATTTTCATTATATACATATAGTGAAAACTTGAAAAATCTTCTGGTCTGAAAGTAAATGGCCTAGAGCTTTGATATTTGGTCTATGGTATCATCTATAGGTCCAAAACCAAAGTTGTTCAAATTTTGTTCCTAGAATTAAAATCGGCCCCGCCCTGGGGGTCATTGATTTTCCCTATATGTATATAGTAAAAACTTAAAAAATCTTCTTTTTAAAGAACCCAAAGAGCTAGAGCTAAGATATTTAGCATGAAACATCTTCTAATGGGTGTCTACCAAGTTTGTTCAAATAAAAGCCCTGGGGTCAAAATTGGCCCCGCCCCAGGGGGTCATTGATTTTCCCTATATGCATATAGTAAAAACTTAAAAAATTTTCTTTTAAAGAATGCAAAGAGCTAGAGCTAAGATATTTAGCACGAAAAGTGTTCTAATGGATGTCTACCATGTTCGTTCAAATAAGAGCCCTGGGGTCAAAATTGGCCCTGCCCCGGGGGTCATTCATTAGCTAGACTTTTTTTTTTATAGATATATACATACATATATATATATATATACATACATATATATATATATATACATATTATATATATATATATATATATATATATATATATATATATATATATATATATATATATACATATGCAATTTATATATATATATATATATATATATATATATATATACAATATACATACATACATATATATATATATATATATATATATATATATATATATATATATATATATATGTATTGCATTTTTTGGTGTGTGTGTGTATATATGAAATATATATATATGTATGTATCTATATTGTATATATATATCTTATATATATGTATGTATATATATATATGTATATATATATATACACATATTATGTATATATATTATAAACATAATATGTATATATATATATATATATATATATATATATATATATATATATATATATATATATATATATATATATATATATATATATATATATATATATATGTATATATATATAAATACATAAAAAATCTTCTTTTAAAAAACCCAATAAGCTAGACCTTAGATGTTTAGCATGAAACATCTTCTAATGGGTGTCAACCTACTTTGTTCAAATAAAAGCCCTGGGGTTTAAACTGGCCCCGCTCCGGGGGCCTATATACAGGTGAGCGACTTTGGGCCATCATGGCCCTCTTGTTAGAAATTGCGTCATTGTTTCTAGTTTAGAAATTGCGTCATGTTGCTATTTTTAGAAATTGCGTAATGTTGCTATTTTTAGAAATTGCGTAATGTTTCTATTCATATATATATATACAAAATATATAAACAAAACTAATGTGACAAGACAGACCAACTAAATTTATAAAAAGGAAACGCTAATATATGTTCAAACCTTTCTATGTTTGCGTTTAGAAAAAGTAAAAAGTCGAGCGTTGCCCCCGCCAGGCGGTGGCTCATGTTTGTGTTATTGTGGTCCATTTGATTTGGCTCCGCCTGACAGGTTGTGCATGATAGGGGGTTACCAGGGTTTCAAAATCCGGAAATAAGTCGCCTTTATTCCTGGTCTTTATACTGGCCTGATGTATAAATATCTATCTGTTCTATTGAAGATATATTCTCCTTTATTTATTTATTTATTTATTTATTTATTTATCGTCAGGCCCTACCTTGGCGTAAAGACGTTAGAAATGGCAGTAAAAGTCGGTCTTGGTATGTCCCTTTTAGCCGCACTGATTGACGTTCCTCACTGCGCTTTCAGCAGAAGACCTTTGGCGGGATTTGTTATAGACCATCTTTACAACACGCTTGTTTATGTCATCGCCTGCTTATCATTTGTCTACTTCAAATGAACGATTAACCATTCCTACTCCATGCAGTTCTAGTGATTAAGGACATTAACAATCAGGGAGCAGCTAAATTCAGTTGTTGAAACCAGTTCTTTGTATACTGAATGAAAGAAAGATGTTACAGTGCCATTTAAAAAAATACACTGTGTTCAGTTTTTATTGTATACTTGTTTATATTGTCTTTATAATGTAAATTATGTTGCTTATTATTTAGAAGAAGGGTGCTTTGATAGTTTAAGAAAGTGGAAATGTCATGTAATATTTTTGTATAAGTGTTACAATCAATTACAACTATTTATTCAGTTGAGGGGGGGGGGCATTAGTGTTTGAAAGGGTTTGTACATCGAAACATTGGCTTTGTTAGCTCACCAGAACGGAATGTTCAGGGTGAGCTATTAGTATCAAAGGGGATGCTCCGTTTTCTGTCGTCATGTGTCAACAATTGTCTTCTTCTCTGAAACCAGGGCTGGGAATCAAAACTGCGCCTGCAGGACAGGGCGGACCGTGAGACAGGGCGGACCGTACCAGGGCGGACCGTGACTCGAGACTAGGCGGACCATATTTTGGGACACGGCGGACCGTCACTCGAGACCTTGATTTAAAAAAGGTTTTTAATGTGGGTTAATGTAATAAAAGTATTAAATTATTGATGTGTTTGTTCTTCGTATTAACATTTCAATGCAAATATAAAAGTAAAAATATAAAATAAGTTTTAAAATTCATGTGTAATTGTATATTAATTTGCTGAATGGACGATGTCACTCGAGACGAGGCGGACCGTGATTTAAAAAGTATTTAAAGTATTTAATTGGGATTATTTTGGTATTCTTTACAATATTTCAATCTAAACCTTTCTTTGTAACATATATATTAGAGTAGTTTAATACTTTTTTTTTCAAGAAATTATTTGTAACTGCGTCGACTTACGCAGGTGATAATTGACCAATTATCGGGATATTACAATGTCATTGTTTGTATAAGGCGCTAACGCTGCTAAAATTGATAAACTTTATTAAACAATAAGACACATAAAAACATATATTTTGTTGTACAATACACGTTATAACAATGATAACGAATTACATCACATTAAAATTATTTGCAATACAACACAATAACAAAAAATGAAGTGACATATTTAAAGAACAAAACTATTTTATTAAAATTTACATAATAAGCACAGACACATGAAATAAAAAGAACACTGAAATAGAATTTATTAAACAATAAGACACATCAAAGAACTTTTAAACTTACTGTATTTTATATTTTTACTTTAATATTTGCATTGAAATATTAATACGAAGAACAAAAACATCAATAATTTAATACTTTTATTACATTAGTCCACATATAAATACTTTTTTAAATCACGGTCCGCCTCGTCTCGAGTCACGGTCCGCCGTGTCCCAAAATATGGTCCGCCTAGTCTCGTGTCACGGTCCGCCCTGTCTCACGGTCCGCCCTGTCCGTAAACTGCGTGGTATCCTTCAAAATGTAAACAAACGCCGCCATCTTGGAACAAAAAACATATGTTTTTGATTATAACTACTTTTATTGGAAATGACTGAAAACCAGATATATGTATTAACACGCTACACTATTTTCCGCTTCGTTCGGTATATGTTGCTTGCACAACTATTTTGTAAAACAAAAGTTATACTGAACTTGCAACTCGAAGCGGAGCAGAATTTTTGTGAAAATGTGTGGATACGACGCAGTTCATATTGCTTTATCTATCGTTTTTCCTTCATATAAATTGTATACTCATTTCAGAGTTTAAACAAATTATCTCCAAGGGTTTTCAAGTTATGCTCCGGACAAGACAACGGACGGACAGACGGACAAGGTGGCGACTATATGCTCTCCCTTTGAGGAGTATATATAAAGATAGAAAAACCTCTAAACATCTTCTACTACAGAACTTATTGATGGATGATCACCAAACTTTGTCTGTAGCATTCTTGTGTAGTCTTTTATCAAGTTTGCTCATATTAAGGTATTAGCCCCATAATGGGCACTATAAGGAACTATAAAATTGACAACATAGGTCAGTAATATACCTTAAAAGACACAAGAACGCAAAATTTAAACAAAGTTTACCGTATGGTTTACGAGCTATGGAGATTTTTCTAAAGTAAAACTTGGCTATTAGACAGGCTATTTTTCAGAAATGGGAAACTCTAATTATTCTATCATATAATCATTATGAACTAATGTTTTTCTATAGAATTTTTTTAAGAAACAAATAATAGCATTCAGCTAACAAATGACCCAGCAAAATTATTGTTTCTACTCAAAATTTTTGAAATAGGTATATAAATGTTTACCCTACCCCACCCATTTTAAGTAGTTGTTTGATCATTTTTGCGACGGACGCGCCCTCAGGCGCGTTCGGAGCTATGTCATCTATACATGGGATTTCGTCGGCTACAATCGCGCAATGTGTCCTCAACCGAATAACAGCCCACGAAATAGTACATGAATTTGATCCTATGAAACTCCCATACTTGGTCGGGATATCTTTAAAACTTCCATATTTAGCCTTTTCAATTTCAAATTAAGTTATCCAAGTAAAAATATAAACGTATTTGATTGATAAAAACGCTGTAGCCCCGTAGTATTATTGCGCAATTATGCAAATAACTGCTGAAACGATTTACCGCTGTCGAAAAAGTAGGACAGCAAATTAATTATGCTATAATTAAGGAGTAAGCTCAATAATTCATAGAAATTATAAGCAGGAAATAAATATTTCCCCATTAAAAAAAAACATTTTTATTAACAGATCAAAATTTTTTCGTGACTTTAGATTAACTTGCGCATTAATAAAAGAAGAACTCTTTTCGTGACTCATACCGCGGGTTTAGCTGAATATCCAGCAGTTATTAATAAATTAGACTACAGTACAATGGTTAGTATTATAAATAATGCATGTAACAAGGGAGTTTTTCAACACTTTACCACCATGCATGTAGTCTTTCATGGTAATCTTTATTGAAGGAAGTTATAATATCAGTTCTACTTCCGATTCTTGTGTTTTGTTTACATAGTTTTCTAGGTCACGATATGAGTTAACCTGCAATGAGATTATAATAGCCTTCGACCAGAAGATAACACTATTCTAAAAATAGATTCTGCATCATCTGTGCTGACTTTCGGACGAGTACACATTATACATGTAATAAACCAGCGGATACTTATTTTGTTTACATGCAATACTTTAAGAAATTCTATACAATTGTAAGAAGCAAAAAAAATGAAAATGGAATTTAGTGTGAAATTGAAAGTGACAACTAAACACTGTAGTGCTTAAGTGACGTAAATGAAAAAAAAAAATCTAAAAAATACACCATTAATTGCTGATGATTTTAACCAAAAATATTTTTTAATGAGACATATCCAAGAGAAATAAAAATACAAGTGACTTATATTTTATTGTCTATATGCCCACCATGATATAACACGAAGCAATTCTAATTAATTAACATTCTCACATGTATTATGTATTATGATTGAAGTTTATTTGCATGGTTTTATTTTAGAAATATTTCGTTGACAGTTTGTTTCTATTTACATATCATTTATTGGAATAAATCGATAAGGACACTGATTTACAAGTTTGACCAAAGTTTTTAGGCATAAATGTCATTCTGTATTTAAAAATTTGGACTTGTTCTGCTTGAAAGTAGAAAATCTGAATTATATCAGATTGGGACACATAAATTATATTGCTCTACAAATCTCGAACTTGTATGGAACAAATTTTCTCTGTTATATCTTTTGTGTTGTTTTATTTTTTTCTAAAAAAAGCCTTAATGTCTCTCCGGTTGCATGTCCGTCGCATTCAGTGCTGTAGCACTTTGATTCTACTTGGAGGGCCTTATTCACAATATCCCTAAAATTTACTCAAATCAGGGGCTGTTTTCAAAGTTTGCATAAATTTTCTTAAAGGTATATTGGTTGGGCTTGTTAAATATAAAATACTTTTACCGTCTAGTTTTTATTTTATTAGACTTTGAAAATACAAGGTACCGTATTTGATAATAAATTTGGTACAATTTAGCCAATAAATACCAATAATAATTTTATAATTAAATTGAAACACTTTTTTCTTATCAAGAGTGATCTGAGAGACACAAATAATGTTCAAAGAAAAGAAAAAAGAAAGAAAAAAAAGTTGCCTCTTCCGGGGCTTTAACCCGCGCCCCTCAGTTTCAATGCAGTTGACAGTAGTTCTATGATGTTTTGATTGAACAGTTTTTACAAATACATGTAATAATATAATTTGATCATATTTATATGTGCAATACAAAAAAATATTCATTCATTTCGAATAAACTGACGTTTAGTCGGGTAATTTTGACAAAAACCCAGCAGTCAGGAAATATTACAGCATATGGCAGTCAGAAATATTACAGACTTTGGCCGTCAGAAATATTATATCCTATGGCCGTCAGAAATATTACAGCCTTTGGCCGTCAGAAATATTGTAGCCTATGGCCGTCAGAAATATTGTACCCTACGGCCGTCAGAAATATTGTACCCTACGACCGTCAGAAATATTGTACCCTACTGCCGTCAGAAATATTGTAGCCTATGGCCGTCAGAAATATTGTAGCCTATGCTCGTCAGAAATATTATAGCCTATGGCCGAGAGAAATATTATACCCTACGGCCGTCAGAAATATTGTACCCTACGGTCATTAGAAATATTACAGCCTATGGTCATCAGAAATATTACAGCCTATGGTCGTCAGAAATATTACAGCCTATGGTCGTCAGAAATATTACAGCCTATGGCAGTCAGAAATATTGTAGCCTATGGCAGTCAGAAATATTGTAGCCTATGGCAGTCAGAAATATTACAGCCTATGGTCGTCAGAAATATTACAGCCTATGGCAGTCAGAAATATTGTAGCCTATGGCAGTCAGAAATATTACAGCCTTTAGCCATCAAAAAAATACAGCCATATATGTATTGTAGCCTATGGCCGTCAGAAATATTGTAGCCTATGGCCGTCAGAAATATTACAGCCTATGGCCGTCAGAAATATTACAGCCTATGGCAGTCAGAAATATTACAGCCTTTAGCCATCAGAAAAATTACAGCCATATATGGCCGTCAGAAATATTGTAGC